AACACTGGTTCTCCACTTGTGAGGTAACTCCCTTCTCTTCATGTGTCATTATATAATGCCTGCATCTGTAATTTTCACTCCATGCATCTGAAGAAGTGAGTTTTTTTACCCACGAAAGATTATGCCCAAATAAATCTGTTAGTCTTTCAGGTGCCCACCAGACTCCTTGTTATTTTTGTGGATACAGACTAACACGGCTATCCCCTGATATTTGGTGTTTGTGTGTGTGTTTCTGCATGTGCATACATGTGTGAGATAGAGATAGAGAGGGAGGAGGGATCACGTATCTTTCTTTGTATGGGCAGTGCCCAGCACCATTGGTCCTGTGCTGGGAGCCATCTCACTGCTTGGGGGTGGGGGGGAGGCAGGGCAGGAGGCTCCATTGCCACCCCTGGGGGGATCTCACTGCTTGGTGGGGGGGCAGGGCAGGAGGCCCCATTGCCACCTAGGGTGACCAGTCAGCAAATGTGAAAAATCGGGACCGGGGTGGGAGGTAATAGGAGCCTATATAAGAAAAAGACCCAAAAATCGGGAATGTCCCTATAAAACCGGGACATCTGGTCACCCTATTACCACCCCTGGGGGAATCTCACTGCTTGGGGGGGGGGACAGGGCAGGAGGTGTAGCGGCACAAACAGCTCCTGCTCCCGTTTCCCTACTTTGGGTGTACTGAGCATGCTCACTCGAACTGAGCATGCCCGGTAACCTTCACTCCCCAGGCTGTGGGGGGGAAGGTTCCATGGCAGTTGGTGACGCAGAGAGGCTGGTGTCTGGGTAAGGGCCCCCCCAGCCCTTCGTCTTTGTCCCTCCCCGACCCCTCCATCCCTCCTCCCCAGCCCCCACCCCTCCATCCCCACACCCACCCCTCCCCCTTCTTCCATCCTCACCTCACCTCCCCACCCCTCCATCCCTCCTCCTCATCCCCACACCCCTCCATCCCCACACCCACCCCTCCCCCTTCTTCCATCCTCACCTCACCTCCCCACCCCTCCATCCCTCCTCCTCATCCCCACACCCCTCCATCCCCACACCCACCCCTCCCCCTTCTTCCATCCTC